GAAGGAAGGTTGGGCAATCCTACTTCCGTAGTGATACTGCCTCGGAAACCCAAGGAGGGGTCGCTATGAGTCAGGGGCGACTCGACGGCAAATAACAACAACAACAACAACCTACAAAGTATATTCCAAGCCTGAGAGACATACTACATGCCAGTTTATAGTCAACGTTATACAATGACTATTTAATTTTCCTAAAAGTCTATCCTCTCCATTTTTTCCCTCACTAAAGCCTGGCAACATTTCAGTCCAAATATTTATCACCATCAGTCTTTTACAATCTACTCTCTACCTTCTCCTACATCATCTATTAATAGTCTTGTCTACACAGTGATACTAATATACTTATTGCATAATATGGTAAATTTAATAATCCAAAGAACTAAGCTAAAAGTTGTTCATTTTCTATTTAATAAATAATGGCAATGTTTTATGCTATTTTTTTCAATTCCATGATGTTCAATACCTGAAAAATATTCCAACAATGATTTAATTAATGTTTAAAATGGAAAAAGATGTTCAGTGATAACTTCGACCTATGTAATGGATTACTATCTTTAGGAGGTAATTTGCTGTTTATTTTCTGCATAGATTTGATAATTAGGTATTTAATTTTTAGTCAGTTGATCAAAAACCAGTTAAAATAAAATTTCAACATTGTAATAATCTGACTTCCTTACCAAGACTATCTCTCCTAATCCAAGCTGAGCCCGTCCCAAGGTTTGCCAAGATTCCCATGAATGTGGATTTCTTTGGACAGCCATTTCTGCTGCATTCACTGCTGGGAACATTTCATGAAGAGACATTAGGACCTACAGCCAAAAAGAAGAAAATAAAAGCTTGTCAGTAATATTCATGAAACAGTAACTCACCAACACAAAACCAAACTTACTGCCATCAAGTCGATTCTGACTCATAGCGACCCCCTTTGAGTCAGTAAATCTTTATAGAAGTAGACTGCCCCATCTTCCCTCTGCAGAGCAGCTGGTGGGTTTGAACCGCCAGCCTTCTGGTTAGCAGTCAAGTGCCTTAGCCACTATGCTACCAGAGCTCCCACTGCAACACTAGAGCTCCTTAAAACAGCAACTCACTCATTGCCATCGAGTAGATTCCGACTCATAGTGACCCTCTTTGGGTTTCTAAGGCGATTAACCTTTACAGAAGTAGATTGCCCAGTCTTCCTTCTACAGAGTGACTGGTGTGTTTGAACTGCAAACCTTCTGGTTAGCATTCAAATGCCTTAGGCACTACACCACCAGAGCTCCTTAAAATAGCAACTACTGGTGGATAATCATACATAGATAACCCTTTTCAATTTTTTTTTAAATGCATTTTCAATCTGGTAAACATAGCACTTCAGTGGTTTCTGCCCCTCCTTTGTCACTCAGGGTCATGAATTATTCTTTTTATTCCTGAAACAACAATGAAAATATAAATTATCCCATTTCCAATGTATTGACTCTGTGCCCATCTGGCCAAAATCAGGTGGCCACATTCTAGCTATGGTGGCTTGGAGCTCTGTGAACTCTCATTCTACTTCTATTTATTCTGCATACAATGTGGCTTTTAGGACATCCCAGGTCTTGCTGTTAAAGTAAGTTAATTCAAATGTGTTCAACCAGCCTTTAGGTCCCTAAGTGAACATCTCCCTGCAATAAAGTCATTTAAACACTCCATAGGCTTTCCCACCATCAGGTTCTTCAAACATCAATGAGGAAAATCAAGGAGCTCCAGCGCTCTCCACTTCAGTACACAGGAAAAGGCTGGATTTTATCTATAATCTTTGGACCATCTGTACTCCAGTTTGTACAAATTATTCTCAGGTTCCAAATTAATTCATTTCATACAGTTTGCTATAAATGCTGCCTTTGATATATACATATTAAAGAGTAAAAATTAAAGCTTTATTCAAATGAAGGTCCTCAAAATGCTTCATTCAGTGGAAATAATTTGGGTTTTCTCTAGATAAACTAAAATCAAAGCTGATAAAGGTTATAACCATGTTTGAGATCATCACCAGAAATATTTTCTCAGATAAGCAGATCAAGGCTGCATTACAAGTAGTCCCTGCCAAAAACAACGTTTAATGATCTATTTGCGATTTTAAGTCTCTTGGATAACCTAAACCAAGGACACAGATATTTCCTTTACAGATTTTACCACAAAATATTAGAAACTTATTTTTAAAATATAAACATTATTTTTAAACTATTAATATATTCAGTCTATTCTGACCTTTTGCTAAGGGCCAGGTCATTTTTAGAGAAATCTTACCATGAGGAATCAATCCATCCTCATCTTGAAGGAATATAAGTTAATGCCAAGTCCATCACAATTAATTTCTAAGAAAAGCAGATTATTTTTCATTTATTTAAGAGAGCACTAGTGACTCCATCCACCTGTTCATATCTTCCTTTAGTTAGGCTGAAATGACAGTTATCTACTTTGTAAAGCCAAATGAATCTCTAATGTTATGCATAGGTCAGACCCATAAATAATATGAGTAAACATTTCTTTTTCCTTAAATAAACTGTACTTGAAAAAGAAAATAGGAGTAAATGCTATTTTGGTTCATCATTGCTCACCAAATAGCACAATTTCAAATGAATATAAAATTCTTCTTAGTTCTTACCTGTGATTTCATCTCATAGAGGGTAGCATCATTTGGGGTTAACTGAAGTGCTTCGTCCCACTTCTGAATTGCCTCCCGATATCTGCGGTTGTTAATGTTACATTAATATCATATTTTCAATAAACTCTTTCCCTGTGCCACCCTCAGCATCCCATGAGATCACTGAATGATCCGAAAGTTCTAGAGGCATATGGCAGAGCCATTCAGTAGTCTTCTGATTCTCCAACATATACAATACCAAGCTCTATAGCACCTGCATTAGGTATAACTGTGGAGCTGTCCCATACAACAAAGCAAAGCTAACACACATTCGTATTTGTTGAAGATTTAAGGGAAATGTTCTGACTTAATTTTTTTTTTTTTTAATTTTATGACTCATGTTTTAAATTGAAGCTGTAATTTTATTTATGTATGTATGTATGTTGTGATGAAGTCACATTAAGTTTGTGGCTAAAGGGAGTGTAAACAATGAGTGGTTAGAGATGGAGGGTGAAGTACAGAGCTGTTGACCCTGCACCACCACTATATTTTCAAAAAACTCTTGAAAGTACACGGCCAAATTCAAAAATCAAGTTCTAGGAAGTAATTATCAGGAGATACCTCTACTCAGAAATTTATAATAATGATGTTACAGAAGCAGGAAAATATAAGAGATGAAGGGAAAGGACAGCAAAAAAGAAAAAGGCAAACACACAATAAATTAAAAAGATCCTAGAAATCTCTCCCAGGGTTAATTTTTCTCTGAGCAGAGAAATTACCACCAGAATTTCTCCTTTTTCATCAACCTCAATGTCTACACATGCTGTCATTCATTTAGATTTATTAAAAAGAGTTTTTCTCAGGAATTTACAATACAGATGCAACTCAGGGCTCTGATGTGACAACAGCACAGATAACAATTTAAGAAGTTGCCAGTTAATTTTGTAAAGATTCCTCCATTTTAAGTTTTTGTGTCTGTAAATTCCACGAAGGCAAAGGCAATATCTATTTTGTTCATCACTCCTAATACATGCTAAGTCTGTAAGAAATGGGTCGAATAAACAAAAAATATCATCATATTGGTCATTTCCACTACTATTTTCTCATTGATGTTTCCTAGCCCAGACTCTCAGTTCAGCATATAGTCAAATAACATCTCCACCTGGGTATTCCACAGATGCCTCAAATTCAACATGTCCAAAAGTAAACTCTGCATTCTCCATGGAAAATATGAAGAAGCACAGCAAACACTTGCTTTTATTTTAAAATAAAATTAGGTAAATCCTATGAATTATCTAAAAGCAATACTCTTTACATCATTCATAAATGGTTAACACATTGCGGTGTAGTAAATTACTTAGTGTGGCTTTTCTACCCATAAGTCTTTGTAAACTCTAAGGTGGGAATTGCTATTAGCTACGGAGGAGATCCTGATTTTAAAGTCGCCCACCTGGGTTATTTCTGTTGGGCGTGGC